ACACATGCACACACACATACACATGCTCGAGCTGGCTTTTAGTGGCTTCTTTAAACAAATTATTAGCATCTCTTTCCAACTGCATCTGTTGAGGTTACATTGTTGCTTAAAATTGGTCACAGTGAGAATATACCACAGAAAGTGTCAAGTGCTACTCGTCAATTCTTTTTTTTAAATATAGTTGCTAAATATACAGATATATAATTATTTGATTTATTTTTAATATCCAGTCGACTGACACTGAAAATTATTGAAATAAATCCTCAATATAATTGTATTTCTATAAATTAGCAATGAACCTAAAAGAATTACATTTAGAATAGCATCAAAAAATATATAGGAATAAATTTAGCAAAAGAAGTACAAGCTTTGGACTCTGAAAACTACAAAATATTGTTGAAAATAATTAAAGAGGACCTAAATAACTGGAAAAACATTTCATTGTTCATTGATTAGAAAATTTAATATTGTCAAAGTGATGACAGATATTCCCCAAATTGATATACAGATTAAGCAAATACCTATCAAAATCATAGCTATCTTTTTTTTCAAAGATTGAGAAGCCCATCTTAAAATTTGTGTGACAATGCAAAGCATGCAGAATATCCAAAATAGTATTGCAGAACAACACAGCTGGGAGATTTACCTGTTCTGATTTCAAAACTTACTACAAATCTACAATATTTGAGACAGAGTGCTCCTTGCATGAAAATACACGAATAGATCAAGGGAATCAAATTGAGAGTCCACAAATAAATACCTACATTTATGACCAATTGATGTTTGATAAGGATGTCAACACATTCCATGGACAAAGAAGAGCCTTTTCAATAAATGGTGCTGGGATGATTGGACATATATATGCAAAACAATGAAGGTGGGCCCGTGCCTCATATCATATACAAAAATGAACTTCAAAATGAATCTTTGACTTAAGTATAAGGTCTAAAATGATAAAACTCTTAGGAAAAAACATAGGGTAAATTTTTATAATCTTGGGTTAGAAAATGGTTTATTAGATATGAAACCAAAACAAAAGTGATAAAAGATAGTTAAATTAAATTTCATAAAAATTAAAAACATTTGTGCTTTAAAAGACACATTCAAGAAAATGAAAAGACAAACCATAGCATAGAGGAATAACATTTGAAAAAATATATATGATAAGTAACTTGTACCCAGATGATATATAAAGAGCTCTTACAGGCCTGTCACAGTGGCTCATGCCTGTAAACTCGCCATTGTGGAAAGCAGAAGTTGGAAGATCCCTTGAGGTCAAGAGTTTGAGACCAGCCTGGGAAACATGGCAAGCTCCTTTCTCTACAAAAAAAAATTTTTTTAATTAACCAGGTGTGGTGGTGGTATGTGTCTGTAGTCCTCGGCACTTGGGAGGCTGAGGCAGGAGAATTGCTTGAGCCCTGGAGTTAGAGGCTATAGGGTACAGTGAACCATAACCATATCACTGTGCTCCAGGCTGGGTGACTGAGGGAAACGCTGTCTTTAAAAAACAAAAAAAAGAAGCTTATATCTCAATAATAAAATGAAAATAAAGCAATTAAAAAATGGCCAAAGGAGCCGAGTAAACTTTCTCCAAAGAAGATATACTAATGGCTGACAAGCACATGGAAATATACTTAACATCATTAGCCATCAGGAAATGCAAATCAAACCAAAATGAGATACCATTTCATGCACTCTAGGATGGCTAGCTAAATAAAAAGATAATAAGTATTGGCAAAATGTAGAGAAATTGGAATCCTCATACATTGCTGGTAGTAATGTAAACTGGTGCACCCGTTTTAGAAAACAGTTTGTCAGTTTCTCAAATGTTTTTAAACGTAGAATTACTCCATACTCTTGCTGTTTCATTTCCAGGTATACATCCAAGAGAAATTAACACACGTTCATACAAAACTCATACATGAATGTTCATAACAGCATTATTCATAAGAGCCCAAAACTTGGACAACCTAAACATCAATCAATTGCCTATCAACTAATAAATAAACAAAATGTGATGTATCCATACAATGGAATATTATGTGGCCATACAAAAATATGAAATACAGATACATGCCACAGCATGGATAAACGTTAAAAAAATTATGCTATGTGAAAGCAGCCAGTCATAAATGATCACATATGGTATGCTTCCATTTACACGAAATGTTCAGAACAGGAAGTTTTAGAGGCAAAGGTAGATTAGTCATTGCCTAGAGCTAGAGGGTGGCTGAGGAGTGAAGTGCAGGATTTTCTTTAGGGATGATGAAATGCTGCAAAATGGATTGTGGTGATGACTGCACAATGATGTGAATATACTAAAAAATACTGAATCATAAAAATTAAATTTCTTAATTATATATGTGGATTATATCTTAATAAAGCTGTTACAAAAAGATATATGAACATCATTTGATACCTCAAGTCAAAACTAAATTAAGCTGTAGCACCATGATTTGAAAGGCATCCATAGTCTAGTAATATATTATCCAGGAGACAAATATTAAGAAAAAAGCAATTTCCCTCTGCTGGCTCACAATTGATCAGGCCTTTATAATAGAGTCCTGTGTCCAGTTTTAATCTCTACCTTTTATTAAGGATGTGGAAAAACAGAAGAGAATTCAGAGGAGTTCATCATAATGAAACTAAATTATTAGCAACTTGTGAAAAAATATGAAGGATGTTGATATAATTTAATCCAGAATCCGGAGGAAAAACAGAGCAGGGCATTTGGGCAATGTAAGAGAACCAAAGGCTGTCTGCTAGGAGGTAAAATCTCATTATGAGGGGAAATGAACCAGCTCTGTACCATAGCTATAGGGGATATAATTAAGTAAAGTTGGAATAAATTGAAGCCATTCAAAATTAGAATATTATAGAATATTATAACTTTACACATTGTTCTGATAGAGTAATTATTTACATAAAGACAATAACAAGAGGACTTGAAAAATATTTTCTAGAGACATTTAAGATTAGAAAGTATGAATATTTTTAGGAGTTTAAAGAACATGAAAAATTCATGAGATTTTCTGTATATAAAAAATATCAGGATCCAAAAGAAAAATACATATTAAGTGATCATGACCTGGGAAATTTCCAAGCAAAACGAATGACCAGGAAGAAATATATGAAAAGTTTTAACAGTGCTTACCATTAATTTGAAGATTGGTGCATATCATTATCTTTTTCCTATATTTTTTCACATTTTCTATAGAATACATCAATATATTTCTAGTCAACAAATACAACTTAAAAACATGGAGGATACAGTTGATCTGTGTTAGTTCTGGTGCTTGTGTCCTCTCAATAACTAATACATTTTCATCACATGTTTGTCACAGACAAGAAATGTCTACTTCAGGAACAAAGAAGATTATGTTAACTCCTCCCCTTCCTTAATTTAGTTTCATTTTGTCTTTATGATTTATTAGGCCTATGTGATAACACTATTATAACTGCCTTTGGATTTATTATTTTTCACCAAATAGGTACTGCACACTATATTTGCTCAAATAAAATATGCTTTCAGTGAGAATTCCTCATCTCTTATTTTATTAGAGGATTATACTACAGATTTTTAATAGCAAGCTATTTCACAAAGCAAGCATGTTACCATGCAGATTGCTTAGGCATAAAGAATATACAAAGAAAAAAATGTAAATGGATTGTTTCCAGAGTGCTCTGGTTTAATTATATTGCACAATGCCTTTGATTCATCTTTCTTCTGTTGATCTGGCAACTCAGCAAGCGTTTACTGAGTGATTTACCATGGGCAAGTTTCTTCTCAGAGTTTCAACCTTGTTGTATTCCCACATAACAGATAAATAATTTTTTTTTCAATTAATCTAAGTTAATAATTTAGAGTTCTTATTTGGAGATCTCAGGTAAGCAAGCCTGCTGGAGAGTAAGCTCATAAGCAGAAGGTGTATTTAGTCTTCTCCTATATATTTTTTTGACATTCATCAACAGTCCTACTTATGCCCTACTGGCTTTTCTATATTCATTTTAAGTTTGATGTCATTAATGATGACACGATAGTATTTACTTTATATACCTTTCTTTCTCTACAGGTGTCGTCCCCAAGTAATTCAGATTTCTGAACTCCACTTCAGCTCCTATTTCTGGTATAGGATCCTTGAAGATGTTTGTTTTAAAAACTCCCTGCATTAAAAACAATCAGGCTCAAGGCCAGTCACAGTGGCTCACAGTTGTAATCCCAGCACTTTGGGAGGCCAAGACAGGTAGATCAGGAGTTTGAGACCATCCTGGCCAACATAGTGAAACTCCTTCTCTACTAAAAATACAACAACAACAACAAAATTAGCCAGGTGTGGTGGCAAGTGCCTGTAGTTCCAGCTACTTGGGAGGCTGAGGCAGGAGAATTGCTTGAACCTGGAATGCAGAGACTGCAGTGAGCCAAGATTGCACCACTGCACTCCAGACTGGGTGACAGAGTGAGACTCCATCTCAAAAAACAAAAAAACAAAAACAAAAACAAAACAAACAACAACAATAAAAAACAGGCTCAGATGGCTCATTAAAAGGTTTTACTTATTTATCTCCTCCATAAGCCGGGGTAATCCTTGACTGGCTTGACACAGTCTCTGAGGAGTTTTTGATAAATGCAAATGCCTTGGCCTCACCCAAGGCCAATTACATTAAAATGTATGCAATGCATCAGGGCAGGCGGAGGCTGTGTGACCAGATATTAGTGTTTTTTTTTAATTGAAAATGTTACAGGTGATTTCAAACATAAAGTGAGATTTGATAACCACTGCACTAGTCTGTGAATAACTTGTGACGAGGGACTTTCTATTGCTATGTCTTGATGGTCACCATTTAATATAGTCCCCTGTGTCAGCTGTTCTACAAAGGCTTGCCAAATGATTGATGGACTAGACATCCGCTGCTGTATTTGCTCATCCCTGATTCCTGAATGGCATTAGATGGGTCTGGTTCTAGATTTAGTCATGTTGGTCTTCATTTTCTTAGCACAGGTGCAGCAGTGAACAGCAGTGAGAGTCTCCCTCCATCCTCGTCTGTCAATGACATCTCCTCCATGTCCACGGACCAGACCCTGGCATCTGACACTGACAGCAGCCTGGAAGCCTCGGCAGGACCCCTGGGTTGTTGCAGGTGACTAGCCGCCTGCCTGCGAAACCCAGCGTTCTTCAGGAGATGATATGATGGAACACACACACACACACACACACACACACACGCACGCAGACACTCACGCACACACACAAATGCAGACACACAACATCAAGAAAACAGCAAGGCAGAGAATCCAAGCCTAAAATTGAATAAATCTTTCAGCCTGCTTTTCCCCAGAGTTCTGTATTACAGCTAAGCTCAAATGTATATTTAACTTCTAGTTGCTCTTGCTTTGGTCTTCTTCCAATGATGCTTACTATAGAGAGCAAATCAGACATAATTAGAGAAGACTTTTCCATAAAGTGTAATTTTAATGGCTGCAAAACCAGCAACCTGTAACTGCCCTTTTAAATGGCATGACAAGGTGTGCAGTGGCCCCATCCAGCATGTGTGTGTCTCTATCTTGCATCTACCTGCTCCTTGGCCTAGTCAGATGGATGTAGATACAGATCCGCATGTGTCTGTATTCATACAGTACTACTTACTTAGAGATGCTACTGTCAGTGTCCTCAGGGCTCTACCAAGACATCATGCACTGGGGTACCACATGGTCCATTTCCTGTGATCTATTACTCTGACATAATCCCATCTGTAATATATTGCCAGTATATAAGCTGTTTAGTTTGTTAATTGATTAAACTGTATGTCTCATAAGAAAACATGTAAAGGGGGAATATATGGGGGGAGTGAGCTCTCTCAGACCCTTGAAGCTGTAGCTTCCAAATTTGAACGGATTAAATGGCACCTGTATACCAATTTGTAGAAAGAACATATGTGATGCTTATATAAAGTGTGGGGGGAGTGGGTAACAGTTTTCAGGCACAAAATGGGTTGGCCTTTAGAAGGCAGGTGTGAATAAAAGCTGAGAGTCTTTTCTGTGACAGTGAAGAGTAGGAGAGACTGGAGAGTAGTGTGGACTGAGACCAAGAGGAGGTCATTACTCAGATTCTAGGAGACACCGGCGGCCCTATTTTAGAGATTTGGCCCTACTCCCATTTGTCATTTCTCAATTATTGGTCACAAGAAAACACCACTGGAGAAAGTGGCAGGTGGTGAGGCAAGGTTATTGTGTGCACTTTTGATGGTAAGAATCTCTCCTTGGAATTGAGCAGAATTGCCTCTGTGTGAATTCCTTCAACAACAACAAAATGAGTCTTCCTAGACTACTTTCAGATTGTGGGTTGTGTTTTCCATGTGTGGGCTGCTTCCCTGGTTCATACCCCACCAAAGTTTTATTTTGAGAAATAATATTACTTTCCTCTTCTGGAATAAAATAATCAATAAGAATAAATCCCCCAAAGCACAGTGTGAGTCTCAGGTTAGCATTTGAAAACATCTCCAGAGATATTATTATTCTGCAGGAGTTTCCCCGACTCCTTAATGTGGCTGATGTTTCATGTTTATTTATTTATTTTCATAAGTATGAGCAATCGAAGAAGGGCTGATCATCTGAATTTTGTAATGCAGTAGATGTAAGAGCAATAACTCTGCCCATAAATTTACTGCTGCCAAATAGTTTTAGCAATATTAGTTTGTCTTAAAAGCCATGAAGCATTAATGTCAATGTTCAGCAAAATTTCCTGAATTTAGCTTAAATTAAAAGAAAGTGCGTTCCTGAGCACTTAAGGAGGCACTGTGAAACATCTTGGTTATATACAAGGCAATACCAAGGTGATCTCAGCAATAATCAGTTCAGGCTTCCCTTCTTATTCACTTTGAAGTATCCATCACAGTTATTTGCACTCTGGCCATGTTGGTGCTCACCAAAGTGGTGATATTTCACCTGAAGAAGTGAAAGACAGGAAATATATGGTTGATGAGTGTGAACTGATTGAAAAATAGAATTCCCCCCTGAAACAGAGCAAACAAGAATGCCAGTGCTCTGAAAACTGCCTTAAATACAATAATAGGGAAGTTTCTTTCTCTCTTCAAGCAATAGAGTCCACAGGGAACTGCATCCACCTGCACCATCATCATGCCAGTGGTGCTGCCATTCTGAGATTGTTTCACACAGTCGGATTCAGTACACATGGTCATTTGTTTAAAATAAAGAGAAGAACATTCCTTTGTGCAGCTTGTCCCCTGTAATAAAAATGACCCATTCTCTCTATTTTGCTATCATTTATTTTTTGGTTAATATTGCTGACAACCTGATTGTTAAAAATACCTCCTCAGTCACATGAGCTCCCTCTATTATCTTTCGGTCATATGCCTGTTTTTGTTTTTGTTTTTTAAAAAAACTTCTCCTCTCTATATCTCTAATTCTTTACTGATTTTTCTTTCTCTGTACTTTTCTCTTGATATATCTGTGGCCTCTCCCCTCGCTTGCTTTATTCCACATGGGATTAAGTGCAGAGAGCAGGGAGCTGCTTTAAAGAGAGTCTCAGGGGAGTTTTATTGGCCCCCAAGATGACATCACAAGGCAAAAGGAAGTTTCCAGTCAGCATCTTCAAAGAGCTTGACAGGCTATCCCTCATATCTGCAGAAGTGGTGATGTTTTCTCCCCTCAAATTAAACCAGGCAAGAGCTGGACAGAGCCCCTCCCCCACTATTAGCACTGTCCCAAAGCTCACTGAGTCTTATATCTTCTGTGCATGGCTCTTGCGAGCTGGTTAGCTTTAGCCAGATTTCCCTTATGGACAAGAGAAAAATGGAACAAATCCCTCGAATTTAAGTATCATTTACAAATGGAGGTAAGGATTTAGCCCCCAGAATTTTTGCAGGATCAATTTTATTAAATGATCAAAAAAAGGTAGATGATAGAGCAACAAAGAGAATCACCACTGTAAAAGCCCTCCAGTCCTTTACCCGCTAGGTCTGCTTTCTTATAATATCTCTAGGAGGTGATGATATCAAATTAACAGAATATAGTATGTTCTGCATTCAGTTGTCTTACACACACACACACACACACACACACACACACCCCAAATATTTATTAAATAGTCACTTCCCAGGAATGTCCTAACTTTTCAGGTAGGCAAGTGTCAAGTCTCCTGGAAAATATTTCAGAAAAAAATGAGGGGGCTCTACCCGGGACTGGGCTCATTTTGGAACATGAAATTGGCACTCTGAGGAGCCTTATCTTCTGTCACTTCCTATGGGGCAGCTGGTTTGCAGAGATCCTTAATAAAATCTTTCTCAGTATTTTGTAGGAAGGATGGCTGTGTACTCATGTGCAGGGAGAATTAAACTGCTGTGAGAGTTTGGAAAAACCACTATCACTCTACTATTAGTATGTCTTTACTATTTTTATATGTGTTTTGTGGGTCAGCGTGTTCAATTTTAAATAGGAATACACTAGCCTTACAACAGAATTTCTTCTTGTGGAATAAAAACTGATAATAATCTTTCATCTTCAGGAATCTGGTGACTGAGCTTTATAGGAACGTACCCCCACAGTTGGACCACAGCCTGGCCAGTTCCCACCAACTGGAGTAAGCTATTTAATTGACGGCCAAGAAGCTCAATAGCGTTTTCAATCCGTTATCAGAAAAATATTATCTTTTTTTTTTTTTTTTTTGAGACGGAGTTTCGCTCTTGTTATCCAGGCTGGAGTGCAATGGCGTGATCTTGGCTCACCGCTACCTCCGCCTCCTGGGTTCAGGCAATTCTCCTGCCTCAGCCTCCGGAGTAGCTGGGATTACAAGCACGCGCCACTATGCCCAGCTAATTTTTTTGTATTTTCAGTAGAGACGGGGTTTCACCATGTTGACCAGGATGGTCTCAATCTCTTGACCTCGTGATTCACCCGCCTCGGCCTCCCAAAGTGCTGGGATTACAGGCGTGAGCCACCGCACCCGGCCCAGAAAAATATTATCTTAAGACACTGATAGCGGCTGACTGGTAAAACAGAAAGCTGGCCTTAGCAAATGGAACTAGTAAAAAAAAAAAAATGTAAAAATACAAAAAAATCTTTATATTCTGTCAAGAAAAAAAAAAAAACAAGGAAACTTGACTTTTTTGAATTTCAAATATTTATTGCAAAACCTAAACCATACAAAATCTATTTCGATTTGAATCCCTTAACATATGAAAAGCCACATCTTAAGTGCATTATGCTCATTATGCTCTGTAAGGCATGTTATTAGCCAGTTTTGCTGAAAAGTATGTCTTCTACAGCTCAAAAAAAGAAGTAAAATTGCTCTAGAAATTTTTGATCCCAGCCACTTTGGGTCCAAAGAGGAACCCAACTTCCCACTCATTATCCCCCACACACATTTTAATTATAGGAGTCTAACATTTTCCACAGATATCATTAAACCAAGCAAGAAAACTCCTTTCTGTAAAAACAACAAAAAAATTACTATGTACATACTTATATTAGCTATTTTCTTTGTGATTAGAGGATAAGATTTTGTTATTTCTTTTGGCACTTAGTCCTTTAACTATCTGAAAATGGTTCACTTTGACCTGTTTTTTTTATCAGCCAAACTTAAGTGAGGGGCCTCTGTTTATATATAGAATCTTGTATATGTAACTTTACTTATGTGGGACCAATGGCCAGTATACTCTAATGGACATAAATCTCCCAATCCTTATCTGGGATTATCTGTTCACCTTGCCATGTCCATCTTTCAATGAGACCTAACTTGCACTTGCCTGTTTTTCTGCATGATTGGACTCCAAAGACTATTACCAATGATGAGAATTGTCCTGTGTCAGTGTTTATAAAATGGACTTAAAGCACACACACATGCATACACATATTCACATCTACCCTTACAGTTCTTGATCAACCCTGCAAAGCAAAACTATGTACTCCGTTTCTTTGTAAGGTCTGAGTGGTGAGAACTAAATTCAGTCAGCCTAATGGGTAAAATGCAATCTCAGTGATGTTTAATAAGGATTTAAAATCATTCAAATCATTTCTGTTTTCTTTTTCATACCCTTTCCTATTTTCTCTTCCTTTATTTTCAAAATGTCTGTGGAACAAGAGGATGAATCGGGGAGAACTTTCGCTTCTTTCGACTCTTTGTAGGTGATACAGAGTTAACATATTGTGATTTCTGTTTCTTATGAATTATTAAAATCAGAGGAAATATGCTTCCCTCAACATAAAACCAAATCCAGACCCAGACGTTGTTGGAGTTTGCCTGTTGACAATGGTTATGATGCTGCTCGCTGTCTTGAGTTGCATGTACTGACAGTAGCTCTGAAGGGCCTCATGATTTCGTTTTGTCATCTGATAAATGAAACTTGTAGAATGGTCCAATTAAGCCAGGGAATAAAGAAATAAGGAATGACAATGACCTACTTTCTCACCTTGGGTCAAGAGTGTGTGATATGAATGTGACCATGTAGAAATCTGCATTTTTCATTAGACACTGGTTTCTTCTAAAAGTGATGTCATTTCTGTCTGCAGATACTCGTTGTATATCTGCAAATCAGTAATTTCTCTTTAAGGTATAAAATCAATGAAGGGAAAAAAAAAAAGATCATGGGGGGCATTAGGTAAGTAGAGCAGGGTTAAATTTTCTAGATTATCAAATTCCTATTCATTTTAACTATTTCTAACAGAAGAGGCAAAAGCCTTTGTTTATCTATACGTTATCCAATTTTAATATCTCAAACTCCCTGGATAATTAAAAAGATGATTTCATGGCTGGATGAAGAGGTCACTGCACTTGTGTTAGTTTACTTTGCAGTATCTGAACCATGTCAAGGAGTGGCCCTTCTGTTTCTGTAAATGATGTTTTATTAAACCAATTAACTATTAGAAAGCCTGGAAGATAAACATACGCATTATTACCTACTTCCTGTTGGAAGATAGAAAGCAACAGCCTTTAGTTATCTCGGGCACAGCTTCTATCCCAGTTTAAATCACAGATCCTTACGCTCTTTTAAAAAGGTCAAGCATAGGTACCTAAAAATACCCACAATAGTAAGAAGGGAGATTGCATTCCACAAGATGATTGCTCGTAGAGTCAGACGGAGTTACTGGTGCATTCTTGATACCATAGATGGTTAACAAACATTTGGTAATTTTGACCAAGTTCACAATAAGAAGAAAAAACAGTCTTAGTCTTGGACTCACTTTTCTTGAAGATTACTTATGGAGCAACCAACGTAGAAGGATGAATCTATTTACCAATAAATAACAACACTGGTCACAGCCAAAGTAGAGGTTTTTGACATTACCAATTCATCACAGCAGTGTTTTGTATTTGTAACACGTTTTTTCTCCATGGATGTTGAAAGGCATGCTTGGAAGACATGTACAAGTAGTGAAACATACTGAAAGTCCCGCCATCACAGACCACTTTATGTTGGGAACCACTGTACGTCACAAGTCATCTCTCCCTGTTCCAGACTAAATTTCAACTGCTCAACCATTTAGATCACTGTAGTCTGTTTAAGGCACTAAAAACATGCTGTAGAAATTTATATTTCTCAGACACATGAAATGTGATGACACATACAGCAACGAGTCAAACAGTCCTTTACATTTTCTACCTTATATCAACTATTTCTTACTTTTAAAGACATTCTTATCCTGGTATAAAACCCCATATAAAATAATCTTAGGGAATTTAAGGAATTAAAATTTCACTCCATAGAGTATGTGGCTTTATTTCTTCCTCACTGAACTTCTAGTAATATTCTTCACCTGATCTTGTCTGCAATGTTTAACCAAGAGTCCAGATCATTTGCAACTTGGGTATACAATATTATTCATCTCTAAAAGCCTTCACATATTGCCTAGAAGAGTGTCTCACACATAATTTGCCTTCATTAACACTTGTGAATCCATCCTGGTGAAACTATTGTCTAGAACAATTATACAAAAAATCAATTCTTATAATGCAAATAGTATTTTACACAGACCAAGGGAATTTGTAATATTAAAATATTTCTTTTATAAAAGGAAGGTTTTAAGAAAATAATGGCCTCTTCCTTCGTGTTAATATATTGCAAACTTGGATTTGGTATAAATCAAGCCTTGAAAAGATTGCTCTGAATTTCTAATTGATTTTCTGAGCAACATTCTAAAGCTGTTCATTAATTTACTCCAAAAGCATTTATTGAACACTTCTGTGTAGAAGATATCTATTGCATGGTCCTTAACCTCAAATTCAGAGTTAATAAATCTTTGTTTAAAAAAACTAGTTAAAGCAAATATTTTTATTTCATGTACTATGTTTTTAATATATTAATGTATTTAAATTAGTGGTGTGACTTGCATGAGTCCATTTTTATTATTTGCTTAAAGCAATGAAACAAGGAATCTGCTTCTTTCAATGTTCTCATTTTGTCTAATTATATATAAATACACTGCATGAATCAACATGAGAATTTTAAATATTTTCCATTACAAGAGATGAAATCATTTAAAAATTTATTTAAAATTTGAAATTCATTTAAAAAATGCACAGATGTTCTTTTCTGCATCATAGAAAGTTTGCTTTGGTATATGGTTCCTCTGCGAGCTGTTGGACCTGGATGCTGACTGACCTCGGGGCTTAGACTTTCAGCATCACTGTCTCCAAATCAGCAAATGATATCACAGTGGGTACTGAAACTTCTTTGCAGTGACATTCCTATATGAAGCCAAATCTTTGAAGTATTTTCAGTCTATGGGTAGTTGTTAGAACACTAAAATAACTTAAGGTAGAATTTCGTCATTTACTGTTTTTTATTAAAAGGTCCAACTGAGAACATCCCTGAACATCTGAACCAGAAATTTCACATAGAGCTCTAAATATTCACTCATTCATTCATGCAACAAATATTTCTTTATCGAGCACTTCAATCATCCAAGGAGTGTTCTGGGTATACACAGTTGTGATGAAGTCAGCAAATGTGCCTTCAGATGATCGGCTTTCTAGTGGGGAAGTCAGATAGAGGTAAGTACAAGACCACAAAGGAGGTTAAAAAACAAGGTGTGAAAGGGATGCTATTTTATATAAAGTGATCAGGGCAATCCTCTCAGAAGAGGTGATAATAGCTCAGACACCTGACTAAAGTGAGGGAGTGAAGCTATGACATGGAGAAAGTCATTTCAGACACCGAAGAGAAAGCAGGGGCAGGCTCTGAAGGGAGAGCTTGTTTATGTAGACAAGGAGGGGCAAAGAGTCTTGTGGATAAAGCAGAACGAACAAGAGAACGTGGGACTGTAAATGAAATATGATAGCGAAACAGGGTTAGAGCATGGCATATCTTGAGATTTCATTCTAAATATGGGAAGATGGTGGTTAGATCTGAGAGAGGAAATGATATAGGCTACATTTTCTTTTTAAAAAGATTTCTTAGGTTACAGAGTAAAGAGGAATCTTAGGAAGAAATATAAGAATGGAAACAAAAAAATTCATGATAGGATAAAACATTAATCCAGAGAGACATGATGAAGCTTAGACTCAGAAACGGAGATGCTGAGAATGATTTGAACTCTGGATCTATTGTGAAAGCAGAGCTGACAAGATTTGCTTATAGACTGACACTGTGATATGAAAGAGAAAAGAGATGACTCTAGATTCTAAACCATGAAGTAGATGTTGGTGTAATTGACTGAGATGGTGAACAATGGGTTAGAAGAACATTAGGGAGAAAATTATGTTTGCTTTTGGAATATCACTTGGAGATGTTTATTAGAATCCAAATGGAATAGGAGGAGTATATAGCAGGTTGGCGTTAAAGGAAGAGGTTGAGCTGAAACAGAAATCTGAGGGTGGTCTGCTTATAAATAGTATTAAAAATTACGAGTCTGTATGAGACCATCAAAAGACAGCATAGATAAAGAAGAGAAAACCCAAGATGGAGATGCCTCTCACTCCAACATAAAGACTTCAGGAAACAGGAGGGTATTCCAGAACGTTCACTGAGGTAGAGGGAAAACCAGGAGAACGTGCTCTCCTGGAAGCCAAGAAAGCATTTCAAAAATAAGGGCATGGGCAGGGGTCCAGTGTTACTGAGAGACAGAGTAAAATGGGGACTGAAGATTCACAGTTGGACTAAATCTGTTTGAAAGTCATTGATGACCCCAATGAGAGCAGTTTCTACGCAGTACTGAGCAAGAAAAGAGTAACTCCAGTGAGTTCAAAAGAACATGGGAAGTGAGGAAGTAGAAATGGATACAGAAAAGTCAAATTTTTTTCTACAAAGTGCAGCAGAAGAATTATGTAAAAGTTGGAGATAAATGTGAGATTGAGATAATTTTTAAAAACTAATATAGAATGGGTAATGGTGTTGGTGGAGCCAATAGATAAATGGCAAAACTGATAATGCAAAAGAGAAAGGGGGTTATTGCACGTCTAAAGGCCGAGCAGCCCCATAGCTAGGATGCCACATGGAAGCCGAAGCTGCACCTCCTGCATGGCCCCTCTGGCCAGCCGGGCCCCTCAGATGAGAGCTGCGCCCAGGCCAGCACCAGCCGCTCAGCCACCAGCAGCAGCACCCCCCTCTGCAGTTGGCTCTCCTGCTACTGTGCCCCAGCAGCCAGGTCCCAGATGGCAACCACTGCAGCTGGCGTGGCTGTTGACTCTGCTGTGGGGCAAACACTGGGCCACGCCGTTACTGGGGGCTTCAGTGGAGGAAGTGATCCTGAGCCTGTGAGGCCTGACATCACTTACCAGGAGCCTCAGGGAACCCAGCCAGCACAGCAGTAGCAGCCTTGCTTCCATGAGATTAAATAGTTTTTGGAGTGTGCCCAGAACCAGGGTGACATCAAGCTCTGTGAGGGTTTCAGTGAGGTGCTGAAACAGTGCTCACTTGCAAAAGGATTGGCCTGATCAAGAAGTTCAACCTGGAGAAATGGAAAACCAGCTCTCATAACCAAGTTAACAATATAAAAATTTAATTAATAGTGAAGGTATAAAGTGTAGCCATCAGTTAAACCTCTCCTGTCATTCCTAGCTTCCTTGCTTCAGAATTGAAATGGAAGGGGGTGTTCCTACTCTGTAGAATTTGGAGCTGGTCAAATGTTTGTGTGGCCTCCTTAAACTAGCGTTATGATTTTATTCTTTGTGAGCTAATTAGAATAAAGTGATTTTCTTCCCCTCCCCCCGCAAAAAAAAAAGAGAGAGAGAGAGAGAAATGGATATTTATTGCTAGTGTAGCATGCTTGAAAAGACTCGACGGATGAGCTCCAGTCTGTGGGCAGACGTGCTGGCCCTGCATAGTAACTGTAGCAGGAGGTTACTATGAGGTGGTGTGCACAGACGTAGGTAGCTTGGGAATACAGTGATGTGATGGGCATAAGTACATACTTACCTTTTTTTTTCCTCAGTAAAGGTAAAAGTAAGGTTGTCAGTTG